AAAAAAAAAAAAAAAAAAAGATGCTGGTCTGGTGTCTGTGACTCTGGATGTCCTCTGGGACTTTGAGAGGTGCAGTGGCTCAGAGTTAGGCCTGTCTTATCATAGAGCAAATCAGTGTTTACATTTCTTTTCTCTACCATGGTGTTGCCCTCCCAGGGTGGTCAGAAAGACAGAGAAGGCAAAGCCTCTGGCATTGCTGCTTTCCCTGGTATGGGAAACAGCACAGGAATCTGCTGCTGTTTGTTACCAGGAGTGCTGTGCACATGCCTCATGGGTCAGCAGACACTTGCTTCTCACAGGGCAGGGGTAATAGTCTTTCTGAGCCTTGTTTCTGACCTGTGTGGCTTTTTCTTTCTTTCTTTTTTTTTGGAGAGGTTTTTGCTATAGGGTGTGTGCAGAAAGACAGAGACCGAGAGACACAAAGTGAGAAATCCCCCTCAGAGGGGATGGTCACGCCATAATCCTTTCTCCTCCATTTTCCTCTCAGGATCTTGGGCACGCACACATGCACATGCACCCAGCGTGAGTTTAAGACACCAGGTCCGGGACTTGAACTGCGGTTGACTACATGGGAGTCTAGTGACATAGCCATTACTCCATCTGCTGGTCCCGCCCATGTGGCTTTCTTAATACCAGATGTTGGAAGGTTGGAACTCCACCCATCTCACTCCAGCCCCATGACTGAAGGGCCATCTACTGGCCTTGCAGACACAGTGCTACAGAGCTAGAGCCAGACTGAACAGCTAGGTCTTTCAGCAGCAAAAATGAAACTAAAATGTCAAAACATGCCACAGCTGAAGACTGGCTTCCCTAGTAGATGAGACCTTAGAAAAAGCTGCAATGTTTTATTCTCCTTTCAGCCTAGGAACCTCTGAGGTCTAAGAGACTCACAAATGAGAATGCTATTGTAGGTTCACTCTGCCTGTACGGGAACCATCATTAGTAATCACAACTAGACTTTGCCTCTATGGTCTGCCCAGCTGTAATTCCCGAAGTGAATGAGTCCTAAGTCACTCAGCAACTTCGCCAGTTCCTCCTCTTTAAATTTCTTGTAACAACAGAGCAAACCTCAGTTAGGTTACACTACAGTGGGCACAATTTAAAGTAATGAGTTGAAGATAAAACGCAGCACTTGCTGGCAAGTGTTCACAGAGGAAAAGCAAAAGATACGATGCCGGCACAGGTTGGGGGCTCCTCTTCCCTTTCAAGCTGCCTACATGGCAAGAACAGTTACTTTATTTGCAGCCTGTTTATGCTTACATGTGTACATTATTGTTACATAAACAACTGATTCATCATAGAACATCCAGTAAACATCAAGAAGTATGAAAAAGGACCTCAAGATTCTGCTAGTTAAGTTCACCAGTGTTAACCCTGGTATGTTTCTACCAGTCTTTTCTCTCCATGGGAGTAATAAACATTAAAATCGCTTATAAATACACATTCCTCTGTTCCCGAATCCTCACTCGGCACACTGCATCGTCCCATAATATTAATGTCCTTAACTCTGATTTCCATTGGCTGGAGGTCAGCTATAACTGAACTTGGCTGAACCAGCTCTTTACTAAAAGGTGGGAATTCAGGAGGTTTCCAATTTTCAGTTGTCATAAACCATCGCCTTAGGTAGGAAAGAATTCAGAGGTCGATTGTGCCCTTTGCTTTAAACTTCTTTGCAGACCGCTCACTTGACCGAAGCTGGAATTTGCTCCCATAAATGTAGGATACAAAGTCATCGATTTCCACAGTGAACACACAATTTAGCTTGGGGATAACTGAAAGAAAGAAAAAAGAAAGAAAGAAAAAAAATCAGGAGAAAAAAACTGAGGAAAAACTCTGGCAGTAAGTTCATTGTATGTAGAATATTATTCATGAGAGTCTGTATTAAAAAATAAGCTGACAGGGAATGGAGGACCCCACAAAGGGAGCAGCATTGGATTGCCTTTGGCTGTTTGTCATAGGCCAATTTATTCACACTCTACAAGTGATTCAATACCTGATTTTCAGGGTCAAAGGTGATGAACCGAACTCCCAGAACGACAGCCAGAAACAGGTTTTCCCACATGACTCTCAGATGGGCTCTTGGCCTTGTGCTTAGTGGGGAAACTTTTACATCTTTTTTTGGGAGAGGTTTTTGCTATAGGGCACGTGTGCTCGTCAAAAAGACACAGAGAGACAGAAAGTGAGAAATCACCCCCCAGGGGGATGACCACGCCACAATCCCTTCTCCGTTCTCCTCTCGGGATCTTGGGCACGTGCACACACACGCCCAGCATGAGGTTAAGCCACTGGGTCCAGGATTCAAACCGTGGTCGGCTACATGGGAGTCCAGCGATGTAGCCATTATGCCAGCTGCTGGTCCCAGAAACTTTTACACCTTTTCTCAAGATTTATAATGCTAAGAAAACGGAAGAAAGCCACACAAAAAACCGAGTTCAAAAATAAAAGGATCAAAACCTTCTCAGTATGGTTTGCGATCTCCAGATTTAAGGGCAAGGTGGGGTGTAGAAATCCCAGCAGACCTGAGTGTCTGCCGGAGCCATCTATTGGCCACTGATGGGAAAACTCTGGGAAGGGTGCAGTCCTGGGAGCTTAAAGGACAGGGGCTACTTTGGTCTCTTCTCCATTGTCTTAGCTACATTCCTTTGGAGACAGCAGCCTTTGGGCAGGGAGAGGGCCCTAATCCAAGGCCCCAAACAGGCCCAGGTCTCCTGAATCCCAGCCAGCAGTCCTTCCTCCTCCTGGACTGTTTCTGGCTGCAGCTGCTGGTTGCGCTCACAAATGCCTCTGGGAGAGCCATGGGGTGGGGGGTGGTCTCTGCGGGCTTGGAACACAGGGTCAATAAGCACCTGCAATCTGTACTGACTCAAGAGGCCAAACTGAATTAAACCGGTGTCCGACAACATGGGAGTCCAGCGATGTAGCCATTATGCCAGCTGCTGGTCCCAGAAACTTTTACACCTTTTCTCAAGATTTATAATGCTAAGAAAACGGAAGAAAGCCACACAAAAAACCGAGTTCAAAAATAAAAGGATCAAAACCTTCTCAGTATGGTTTGCGATCTCCAGATTTAAGGGCAAGGTGGGGTGTAGAAATCCCAGCAGACCTGAGTGTCTGCCGGAGCCATCTATTGGCCACTGATGGGAAAACTCTGGGAAGGGTGCAGTCCTGGGAGCTTAAAGGACAGGGGCTACTTTGGTCTCTTCTCCATTGTCTTAGCTACATTCCTTTGGAGACAGCAGCCTTTGGGCAGGGAGAGGGCCCTAATCCAAGGCCCCAAACAGGCCCAGGTCTCCTGAATCCCAGCCAGCAGTCCTTCCTCCTCCTGGACTGTTTCTGGCTGCAGCTGCTGGTTGCGCTCACAAATGCCTCTGGGAGAGCCATGGGGTGGGGGGTGGTCTCTGCGGGCTTGGAACACAGGGTCAATAAGCACCTGCAATCTGTACTGACTCAAGAGGCCAAACTGAATTCCTGGAGAAAAAGGCTGATCAGGGGCTAGGGAGGGAGCAGCCCATACTGCCTGTAGAGACATGAGTCTGTACCTTTCAGGCGGTCTTCTTTGGTGATAATTTTGAAAACGTGCTTGGTTTCCTGTAGAAGAATTCCTGTAACACCCACATACGAGGGGCATTTGGATTTTGTGACTGCAAAGAAAAAAGGCAGTTTAAGGCTGAAGCCTCTGTGGTGGTGGGTGAACCACAGTCAGGCCGCTGTTCCCACCCTCTGAGCTAGCAGAGGAAGAGGGCTGAGGCTCGACCAAGCTGGGTAAAAACCAGGGCTTCCCAGTTTCTTCTCCTGGGGCTCTGCTGGGCTGTTCTTACTGGGCAACCTTTAGCAGGCCTGTGGCCATGGGCAGGATTCTGAAATCAGGAAGTATGACTCGTTTCCAGAGTCCCAAGGCCTACAGTCTGGCTCTGAAGGAGCCAGGATGTTTCACGGGCAGGGTCTGCATGAACACCCAGCCAACATGTCTCCCCAGGACCTCCTGAACCCTGGCTGAGCAGAGGTCTGGCTGCAGAGCCGTGTGGCAGTTAGGATGTGAAGTTGGCCACCATCAGGAGCAGCAGGACCCTTGTCCATCCTAACTCATGCTCAGTGTGGTGAGTAGACATTTGAGGTAATGTTCCAACAGAGATGGGGGAGTGTGTGGCCAACCACGAAAACGTGCTTGGTTTCCTGTAGAAGAATTCCTGTAACACCCACATACGAGGGGCATTTGGATTTTGTGACTGCAAAGAAAAAAGGCAGTTTAAGGCTGAAGCCTCTGTGGTGGTGGGTGAACCACAGTCAGGCCGCTGTTCCCACCCTCTGAGCTAGCAGAGGAAGAGGGCTGAGGCTCGACCAAGCTGGGTAAAAACCAGGGCTTCCCAGTTTCTTCTCCTGGGGCTCTGCTGGGCTGTTCTTACTGGGCAACCTTTAGCAGGCCTGTGGCCATGGGCAGGATTCTGAAATCAGGAAGTATGACTCGTTTCCAGAGTCCCAAGGCCTACAGTCTGGCTCTGAAGGAGCCAGGATGTTTCACGGGCAGGGTCTGCATGAACACCCAGCCAACATGTCTCCCCAGGACCTCCTGAACCCTGGCTGAGCAGAGGTCTGGCTGCAGAGCCGTGTGGCAGTTAGGATGTGAAGTTGGCCACCATCAGGAGCAGCAGGACCCTTGTCCATCCTAACTCATGCTCAGTGTGGTGAGTAGACATTTGAGGTAATGTTCCAACAGAGATGGGGGAGTGTGTGGCCAACCACAGACAATTTTATTTTCTAACAGTGACAAGTGCTATGAAGACAGTGAAAGGGTAACAAGGGTAGAAGGGGGTCAGCTTTAGTGGTGGCAGGCCCTTAGGTGAAGTGACATCTAAGTAGAGACCTGAATCATGAGAAGGAATTGGTCTGTGACATACAGGAAGAAGCTCCAGGCAGAGGTAAGGGGCAAATGCAAAGGACCGTTCAACAAGGAGGCAGAATTTTTCTCTAATGTGATGGGAAGCCACCAGAAGCTATGAAACAGGGAAAGGACGTGATGTGGTTTCTGTTATAAAGCCTTAGGCGAGCTGCTTGATTGGGGGAGGAGCAGCTAGCCAGCCTGGCGTGGGCTGGGTGGCTCCTGACGTAATCCAGGGGAGAGGCCCATGGTTTAGATTTGGATCTAGGATGTGCTGATGGATCGGAAGTTGAGGGAGTAGGAAAGCATGGAGACTTCCTAGTTTGGCCTGAACAAAAGGAGAAATACTCAGTGTCATTAATGAGTTGGGGAAAACCAGGGGAGGGGCTGACTTGAGAGAGCAATAGCTCCCTGGGATATGGATGTCTGAGATGCCTACTGGACATCCAGGGGGCTTTGTCGAATGCAGAGTCTTATGATGAGCCTGGAGTTCAGGAGGAAGGCCTATGTGGAGGAGTCAGCTTGAGAGCAGTTGGTCCATAGATGACCTATGAAACCACATGACTACATGAAAGGGATTCTATGCTCAAAATTCCAGGCCATGGGTGAGTGTCAGCAGCTGCTGTGCCCTTTTGAGTTACCAAGAGGAGTCTCTGCATGGAGAAGGTACATAGATACCATTAGAGTGTCTGACAAAGGTAGAATTGGCTATGACAGCTGTTGTTACCTCCACCCTCAGTGCCGGGGATCTGACCCATGTGGGAGGGACAGGTCTGCCACTTTAACACAAGTGCACATTGCCACTGACCGATGGTTTGAACAGGTGGATGACCATGTGCTATTAGGCAACTGACCTGAAATAATAGCACCGTGAAGATCTGCCTTTAACAGCTTGGCTTGAATCATCTGTGGCTGCCTAGAAAAGAGAAGCCTTCAATTTACACCATACTAAAGATTTCTGAAAGAAGCAAACAGGTCTACAGACTTGTGCAGTCAGGTAGTGCAGATAACAGGCTCCGAAGGTTACATTTACAATGACTGGAAGATACGGATGTGCCTCAAAGGTCAAGGCTTCACAAACGTGACTCACGTGTCGGGCTTGAGACCATTGCACAGGTCCCGGATATACTGCTTCCAAAGTTCGTGCAGCGGGAGAAAAAGACTGTATCTGTGGTAAAGCCAGAAACAGGTAAAAGTCAGACAACGTGAGCTTGTGATTACAATGTCTAAATAGCAGAGCATGGCACGATGCCAAGGACTATGGCCTGGGCCATTAGTAGTTAGGTGCAAAGCCTAGTTCTATTGCTGATAATCTGACTAAAATCAAGTACTTTCACCTCTCAACCTTCAGTTTCTCCACTGGTTGAACCTCCTTGAAGCTAATGAAAAGAGGAAGGAGTGTCCCTACTTTGCCTGGCATCCTTCCTACCAGCTAGCTGCAGCCATCACAGCTAGACCTCAAGGAGACACCTCAGACCATGAGGAATGTCAAAAAGTCATGGTGCGCTGCTCAGGTTCCTGCTGGCTGTGGGACTTCCTGCCACACCCACCCAGGGTGGCATTCACTGGACTTCTTTTATGGGAGAGAAGTGAAGTTCAGTTTTGTATAAGCCATTGCTGCTTTGAGGTTTTCTGTTATGTCAAATTGAACTTAGTAAGCCCTCAGTGAACAGGGTCTGCTGGTCGGGATGTGTGAAGGAGTGAGTCTGTCTGGAAGGTGAGTGAGTTAGTGGTGGGGAGAAGAGAGGAGGGAGCAGGTGAGAGGACCCTACAGGCTTTCCTCCGGGACCGCTGTCACTTGTTCTGGTACTCACAGAGAACTTATTTATATGAAGCTGCTGGTTAGAGAAATGAAGAACTCAAGTTAAAACCCAACATGCGCTCTACCAGAGAGGACATCAGTGGGACAAACCTGGGGCAGAGAGCAGCCCCCTCCTCCACCCACAGCCCTGCTGGTTTCATGAGCGTGGGCCATGGACAAAGTAACACCCTTCCCTTCTCTTCTGAGATGTGGGAAGCTATCTGGCTGAAGACCTCTAAGCAGAAGCCTATAAACAGTCCCAAGACGCGAAACTCAGACTGTTGCCAAGGAAGGATGGCATGCTAGCCAGATGACCTTCTCCCATAAGACAGTGAGGCAGTCCTTTCAGAAACTTCCGAAATGTGTGGGCAGCATCTTTCTTTGGCAATAAAACCCAAGTGAGTGATTCTATCTAATGCTATTAAAAGCTACAAAGAGATACACATTCAGAAATATCAGTTCCTCTTTTCTGTCAAAGAAAACTAAAAGACAAACAGCCCGCTGCCACAGGCAACAGACTCACTTATGGCACGAGTCTTATTAGTTAAGGCTAGGATAGAAACCAATGAAGAGGCCTCAGTCTCACTATGACTTGTTATTACAAGACAAATCCGCAGTACAAATTGGTAAAGGAAGGCTGCCCCCGTGTGGCAGAAGATGGAGAGGCACCCTCAGTTTAAACGGTGCCTGAGCGACCTAGTCAAAGCCACCTAGCCCCCAAGTTCACAGCTGGGCTGAGGATCCAACCATGAGTAGAGAGGCATACCAAAGGCTTGGCTTACCTCTGTTGCTCTGGCTTAATGTCAAAGAGCCGCAGTTCCCTCCTCTGCCTGGCAGAGAGGCCTTTGGATTTCTTTTTCTTCTCCTTTCTCTTCCGGCGAGTGAAGTACTCTAGAATAACGGCCTTGCGCTGCAGCTGGTCCTCCAGGGCTTGCTGGCTCATGCGGGGCACGCTGCGCTTCAGGAAGGCCTTCACAAAGGCCTCGGCCCGCCCGACTCCTGCATGCTGGATGGAGACAAGGAGGTGAATGCTCACTGCTTGAGTCTGGGTAGCCGAAGACCCCAGCACTCCCACCCACCGCACCCAGGAGCCACTGCAACAGTAGATGGGGCCGCCCTCGTTGAGGGCACCTATCTGCCAAGTGTCATCTGCCAAGTGTTTGCACCTAAACAGCTGTCAGGATGTGAAAGCCACACTCGTGTCCATTTGTGAGTTTGTCACATAAAACAGCCAACTCAAACACTGACTTCCTGCCCTGCTTTTCTGCGGTTATTCTGAGATAAACAATCTTTCGACTGGGTTGTTGGAAAAACCCTAACACATTTTTACATAGAAAAATACGTCATGACTTTTCTGACGACCCAATATTTGGAAGAAGCCTTTCCTTATCCTTGGCACAGAGGAAAGCTTGAGAAATGCATGACGAACCTACTTAATCAGTCGTGACCAGATGAAAGTGAGCTCAGAGTAGAGCCAAGTTATGGTTGTGAGGGAACTGATCCTAACCCTAGGGAAAACAGCCAAACTAGGTGCTCTGGGGTGGGCCAAGCCTCAGTGGGGAACTGTGACATGGAGCTTACGAGACAATTATCTTTACTTGGGCGACATGGGTGGCTACTCTCCAAGAGGTCTACCCTGCATCACTTGGAGAAAGAACTGTCAAGCACATCTCAGGCCTATACTTACTCTCTCCAACACAGAGCAGCAGTACTGAGCTACAGTGAATAAACACAGGCTCTTAGTGAAGACTCCTGGGCAAAGTAACTGTCGTAACCATGTGCAATTCTGGTAAAAGCCCCAAGCACCACTTTCTCTCAAGTTTGGAGTACAACACCCTATTCCTTATTCAGCTGTGGGTGCCTCTGCCCTGATGTCCACCAGAGCCCTGAACAGAGCTCTCTACTGAGGTCTTGCCTTCTGTTTGGTCATTTCCTAGGACTTTTTTACATGAACAAGGCTATAAACACGAAGGCCGAGGCTAGGGGACAGACTGAAGCTAATCTATAGTAATCAGGCCCTTCCACCATGGGTGAGAAACAGGGATGAAAAGATAGCATACATGCAATATTCAAAGTTGCTTAGTATGAGAATGGCAAGAAGTATGTGTGCTTTAGCTTTGTACCATTACATTTTTGCTATAGTGAGTGTGCACTTGCCAGAGATAGATGGAGACAGACAGAGAGGGAAGTGAGAAAGCACCTGCTAAGGGGAACAGTCATGCCGCAGTCCCTTCTCCATTCTCCTCGCAGGACTTTGGGCATGCATGTATATGTGCCTAGTGTGTCAAGATCAGGATTTGAACTACACAGTTGGCCATGTGGGATCCAGCTGCCTTAACCACCATACCATCTGCTGGTCCCCAGCTCTGTACATTTAGATGCTAAGTTTATTATCATTAGTATGATAAAAGGTAAATAAATATATTTGATTCTTTTAAATATCTAAATGGCTGTGCTTTCACGAAGCGGAATACAGGTCTTTCAAAAGCTTGATTTCCAGGTAACATTTTCATTATCTGCTGTAAGTGAATCTTTGGCCAATTTTTAAAAATTTTGCTATAGGATACATACACTTGCCAGAGAGAGAAAGGGAAACTGAGAAAATACGCCCCAGGGGAAATGGCTATGCTGCAATCCCTTCTACTCTATTCTCCTCTCAGGATTTCGGGCATGCATGCACATGTGCCCAGTGTTGTTTTCAAGCCATCGAGTCTCGGACTTGAACCCTGCAGTTGGCTATGTAGGATCCAGCTGCAATAGGATCCTATACCATGCCACCAGTTGGCCCTCCTTTGCCAAATTAATAAAGCGTTTTGAGGGACAATAAAGGCATATTGAAAGTTTCATTTCAATGTAACGTTTTCATTATCCACTATAAATAAATCTTTTGCCAAATTAACAAAGCATATTGAAGCATCTGGGTAGAATCTGTAAATCCCACTTATGAAATGCAATTTGCCTGCCTTCTACAGGAGTGAAGGGGGCACAGTCACAAAGTCAAACAATGGTGCTCACCAGGCCAGGTTTCAGGTGGGCATGGCCTGGTATCCTCTATACAGGGGGAGATGACACAAGATCAAGAAGTCCCAGCTTACCAACCTGGATTTTGGCACAACAGAGAAAGAGGCTAGCATATAGAAACAGGCCTGGATCAGACCATAAGACCTGGCTCGAGCCTAAGATGTCTACCTGAGAGGTAAGTATGAAGTATGAGTAAGACATGGAAAGGACATGCAAACCAGTACTCAGAAACAACTGAGCCTTCTTTGCCATCACCTCTGCTACCCTAGACTTCAAGAACTTCCTCTCAAGAACCATACCTGAACATCGAACTCTTTTGCTTCTTTCTGAGAAAAAGCACGGTAGACCATACCTGAAGGATTAAAAAAAGAAGTAATGATCAATTCCTGTCGGGTACGGCTGTAAGAGTCGAGATTTTTCTAACTATAAAAATAACTATGCTTGGGACCAGCAGTTGGCGTAATGGTTATGTCACTGGACTCCCATGTAGTCGATAGCGGTTCGAGTCCAGGACCTGGTGGCTTAAACTCACGCCGGGCGTGTGAATACATGCCCGAGATCCCAAGAGGAGAATGGAGGAGAAGGGATTGCGGCATGGCCATTCCTCCTGGGGTATATTTTCTTACTTTATGTCTCTCTGTCTCTTTCTGGCGAGCACACGCACCCTATAGCAAAAACAAAAACAAAAACAAAAACAATTCAGAGATATGAGATGGGGGTGGTATGAAGAGTAAAGCTTCAGTGCTTTCTTGGATGTTTCTTATCCTCCCTCTAGCAATGTCTCTTCTAGAAGCTCTAAGGGTACGGTTTAAAAACTTTAATGCTTCTCAACTTTCATGTGTGTAAGAAACTCTGAAATCTTATTAAAATGTTGATTCTTGATTCCTACTCCCAGATCCTACATTTCTAACAAGTTCCTAGGTGATATTACAGGCTAGTGGTTCATACTATGAGTTGCGCTAGTTTAAAATACCATAGGTTAGAAGCCTGGGCAGTTGCTCACTAAGTCTAACAAAGCACAATTAATAGTTATATGATGGAGCCAGAGGTGATGTAGTGCTTAAGGCATTGAACTCCCATGTGGTTGACCAAGATATGAGTCCCAGATCCGGTAGCTTGAAACTCATACTGGGTATGTGTGTGTGTATGCCCAAAATCTCAAGGGGACTGGAAGAGAAGGGATTGTGGTGTGGTCATCTCTCTCCGGGGTGTGTGTCTCTGGCTTTCTGTCTCTCTGTCTCTCCTGTGAGCACATCCGCCCTATAGCAAAAAAATCCCCTCCCTCACACACACACACACACACAAAACCCCACCAGGTTCACATGCCCAATAATCCCAAAAAGAGAGAGAAACAGAGGAGAAGGGATTGTGGAGTGATCATGTCTCATGGAGTAGGGTGGGGTGGTGGAGTGTTCTTGCTTTCCCTCTCTAACTCTGGTGAGTGCACGTACTCTCTGGCAAATTAAAAAAAAAAAAAAATCAATATGATAGAGCCGTCCAGGATGCAGATGGTTGGACATATTACATTTTGTTAACTCTAAGATTATGTATATATATATATATATATATTATACACAAATTTTTTTTTTGAGAGTTTTTTTTGCTATAGGGCGTGTGCACTCATTAGAGAGACAGAGAGACAGAAAGCGAGAAATCACCCCCCTGGGGGGATGGCCACACTGCAATCCCTTTTCTTCCATTCTCCTCTTGGGCACGCACGCACACATGCCTGGAGTGAGTTTAAGCACTGGGTCCAGGACTCGAACTGCAGTTGACTACATGAGAGTCCAGCGACATAGCTATTATACCAACTGCTGGTCCCGTTAACTGTAAGATATTTAAAAACATTTTTTTCTTTCACATTGTAATATCTAGGAAATTGGAATATACCACATAATTGGTGTTCTGAACTGATAAAAATATATCTAACTCCTTGAAACTCAGAATATATACTTATCGATGTGGTTTCATCTTCTAAAAACTTATCCACTCCTGTTTCTTTCTCTTTTTAGTTGGCCAGAAGGCACATGCACTTGCCAGAGAGTGGTGAGGAGCAAGACAGCCCTTCCCGACACAATGGGGCATGGTCATAACCCCTTCTCCTCCATTTCTCCCTTCTGGGATTTTTGGGCATGCATTGACACACGCTTCGTGTGTTTCTCAAGCTGCCTGGTCTGAGACTTCAACTGCATGATCAATAATGTGGACCGAGCACCTTAACCATAAAGCCATGGCTGGCTACCAACTACTGTTTCGTACTTAATTTGTCTGAAGAAGAAAACTGTGCCATTGGGAACAGAATAGGAGTGGAGTGAAATAAGAATGGGACAAAAGCCTGGCTTAAGTGACAAATGCCTAGAAAATCTGGTTTGTTCTACACTATAAATTCCACCCCAGCTGTCTTGTGCTTCCCTGAGTACATGTCTGATCAGGCAAACGAACATGGTTACACATTTAATATAGTCTAGCACTCCTGCAAATGGAAGACAGGGATTATAACCTGTTTGCAGAAGCAACTTGTAGAGCCTGGAACCCCAGAAATGAATTTGTTTCACCTGTCACACATGCCCAACATCAGACTTGGAAGTCACTCTGTAACAATACACGTCTAACAGTTACCGAGCACTCATGGCTCACCGGGTATATGATCTCATTACACTTTCCAAACAATCTTTTAATTATTGTTATTATGCACAGGAGAAAGTGGATGCTTAGACATGCTGAGACACTGAACTGGATCATGTTGGTAGAGAGTGGCAGGGAGGGAAATCAAACTCCCTTGTGTGTGTGTGTTTTAACCACTTTATTATTTTACTTATATATTCAATTACTGTGTATTTTTAGTTTATAAAGTGAATTTTCTCAGCATGAATAAACTGTATATTAGTCTGCTTAAAGATACTGTCATATACATTATCATCAACAGATAGCTTTCCATTTTTGTGTCTGTTAAAAGTTTTGCTTTTTTCTTTTCCCCCTCATTCCTTTCCTCTCACTCTCTTCCATTTTCCACCCTCTTCCTATACTGTCTCTAGTATCTCCATGTTCTCCATTTTTAATTTTCCAATCTTTTGATTTCTGCCACAGAGTTTGGGCTTTCAGTATATATTGAGTGAAGACATACAATGTCTCTAATAGTCGGCTGGCTTCGCATAACACTAAATCTTCCATATTCATCCACTTTCTATCAGATCAGGCCTAGTCTTAATGGTGTCTACATTACTTGTCTGTTAATTTCCCAAGTTCTTGCTCCTCCCCTCGGCTCAAGTTGCACAGCCTTGGGTTAGTGATATTCTCCAGCAGTTTCCAAGGCTTTACACTAGGCAAGGGTGGGAGAAGGGGCTGCAGGGAGGGGAAGGGTGGGAGAAAGGGCTGCAGGGAGGGGCAAGGCGGTGGTCCCCCGGGGCGTGGCCAAGTCAGGCCCAGGCCCTGGGCTCTCCTCCTCAAGCACCACAGCCAGGAGAACCTGCCGTGGCCCTGACATCAATACCTAGCTCAGACTGAGCCAGACGAAGAAGCCACACGGTGGGCCTCAGTTTCCCTTATGTGTGGTGGAACGATCCCTGTAGAAATTCTGTATGGATTCCGCAGCGACTGGTAGCAGTGACCCATTTCACCCCCCAGCACCAAGTCCCAGACCCTATACATCTCCCTCTGGGCCCAATTTCGTGGCCTCGCTTACTCTTCATCTTCGGACCGCTCTGTGCGCCCTGACGTCTCCTTCAGGCGTCGCTCACTCTTTCTCCACTTTGTTCAGCAACTCTCCGCCACCAGGGCCTCTCTCATCAGTTTCTTTGTGCCAGAAGCCGAGGTGTAAGCGCCACCAACCAACAGACAAGCTTTTACCTGCTACTGGAGGTCGGGACGTTCAGAGCTCGGAGATGGCGCAGCGCGTGACGTCACCGCCGCGCGCCGGCCTAGGCTCGCGCATGCGCTTGGGGGAGGACTCTGCGGCCGGCAGGTGCCGTCCCTGCTATGGGGCGCAGGGCTGGCATTTGGTGGCATCTTTCAGCCGTCATCTTTTATAGGCCAAGTCGTAGGGTTGGGTAAAGGCCTGAGGAATGCGTGTGAAAGCCTGGAGGAGAGAGAGGACTTGAGGGAGGTTGGGGACGGGGAGGGCGGAAGTGCAACTGGAGGGGGTGGGGGGCGTGGTGGTGAGGTTCGTGGGATTCCCTAATCCGTGTTCTTGCAGGTCTGCCGAGGCAGCCTCCGCTGTCGGGGACTGGCCCGGAAGTTGGGGTATGAGCCTCGGGGTTCTAGTTCTGTCTCTTCTGGTAGCTCGCTGTGTGAACCCCCGATTAAGGTGCTTCGCATCCATGGGCTTCACTTTGCCCATCTGTGTTGTGAGTGGGGTTGGCCTTAATGTCCCAAAGCTTTCTTGAGACTCCGAATATTTGTTTCTGTCATTAAAGTGAAAGGCAAAGAGTTGATTCTCATTCCTCTGAGGAAAGGCAGGAATTTCTGTGGCAAGGAAGCCTGGCCTGGCTGCTCCACTTGTCAGGAGTGACCTGGTGTCATGCCGAACCGCAGCCTTAATATTTGCAGAGTGCCAGGCCTGGGGTGGGTGCAGTGCTGGAGAGAAAAGCAGTAGGTCCCTGTCGTCTTTGAGTCCTGTGTAAACACCTCTTAGATGGGAAAAAATTTTCTCAGAATCCTGGGAATATGTCCATAGAGCCTGGTTAGAAAAAAAACAAAACATTAATATAAAGGTCTCTTTGGGTGGTGGCTTTGTGCCATTCTGATCTTAAACAAGAATGTAGGCCCTGAAGTTCAGTGGCTATAAGTGGCTTGCTGGAAGGAACCTGGATGCACTTAGTTCATATACACATTACCAGCAATGTGGAAACATTTAAACCAAAAACGTGTTGCCCTTGCAGTGCCTGAGAATCGTCAGGGATCTGTGGGACTGAGTGGGAAAGTGAGAAAGTGTTCTTGGGACCAGCAGTTAGCGTAATGGCTATGTCGCTGGACTCCCATGTAGCCAGCCACGGTTCGAGTCCTGGACCCAGTGGCTTAAACTCACGCTGGGCAGATGTGCGTGCGTTCCCAAGATCCCAAGAGGAGAATGGAGAAGAATTGCAGCATGGCTCTCCCCCCTGGGGGGCTGATTTCTCGCTTTCTGTCTCTCTGTCTCTCTGTCCTTCTGGCGAGCGCACGCACCCTATAGCAAAAAAAAAAAACCCTCCCCCCAAAAAAAGTGTTCTCGAGAACTGGTGTCATGTGAAATGCCAAATGTAAATTTTATTTTTTATTGGCAAAAGTCATGTTTTTGTGTACAAAATGATGTCTTGATGACTAAACTGAGCTGATTTGTGTACATGATTTCACATTTTATTTTTGTGGTGAGAATACTTAAAGTCTACTTTCTGGGAAGTTTCAAGTATACAGCATATTGTTATTAGTTATGGTCATCACAATAGATGTGCTGACAAATGTGAACATCGAAATAGCATGAACCTGCAGGACAATAAAAAACAATTTTAGGGCCATAGACTCAAGTGGGCCTTTTGAGCAGGACTTCTGTGATGATGGAGATGTGAGAGAAGGCAGATCTATTTTTATCCTTGGTAAAACTTTTTTCTAGGCCTGCCAGGTGGCATGGTGGTTAATGCAGCCAGATTCCATGTGGCTGACTGGTTTGAGTCCTGGACCTGGTGGCTTGAAAAACATGCCAGGAGCGTGTGCATGTGTGCCCAAATTTCCAAGAGGAATATGGGGGAGGAGAGATTGTGGAGCGATCATCTCCCTGGGGGATAATTTCTTACTCCTATCTCTTTCCAGGGAGTGCAGGTGCTCTGTGGGAACAGAGCACTTTAAAAACTGCTCTTTAAAAAAAAGTCTTTATTCACAGTATAGCATGTGCACAAGCACCTTCCACGGGGTCTGGTCACATCATGATCCCCTCCATTCCTTCAGCTCGTTGGTTTTGGGCACTCATGCTCTTAGATTCTACAATGAGCAGTTTGCTGGTAGAAGAAACATTTTACAGGTTTCTTTTGATTGCTGCTTTAATGTATTCAAGGGTTTTTTTTAATAATTATTTTATTTAACTTTATTTATTTGACCAGAGAGGGACAGAGTGAGAGAGAGGGAAAGTGAGAAAGCAAGCCACCAGGTCGAGGACTCAAACTGCAGTTGGGCATGTGGGAGTCCAGTGTCCTTAACCACTATGCCACCTGCCGGCCCCTTTGGCTGTTGTTTTAAGGACTCAAGAAAATTTCAGGCCCTGCTGCTGTGGCATGAATGGGAGGACGTCTCTGCATGATGGCTAGAGCCACGTGGGAGACTGAGCTTGCTTCCCCGTGCAGCCAGACAGGTGGCATGGTGGCACATTGCCTGTGGCCTTAGCTGACTGGAGGGCTGGGGCAGGAAGGATTGTGATGTGGTGAGACACTGTCAGAAAATTCTCTCCAGCTTTCTCTCAAAAAAAAAAGGGGGGGGATCAGCAGGTGACATTGTGGTTAAGGCGTTGGACATGGTTGACTGTGGTTCGAGTTCCAGACTCAGTGGCATGAAGCATGCTGAGCATGTGTGTAGGCGTGCCCAAAATCCCAGGAGGAAAATGAAGAAGGAATTGTGGTATGGCCATCCTACCTGGGGCTGATTTCTTGTTTTCTCTCTGTCTCTCTGGTGAGTGTTCATGCCCTACAGCAAAAATCTCTTTAAAAAAAATGTCTCATGTATAAGTGTAAAAGGATTAAGTTTCAACTATTTAATAAGTGCATGTCTGAAAATTAGGATTCCCCTTGTAGCTACAACTAAGTTTACAGAAACTTATCTACTAATATCACTCAGTACTGTATAAAAGTGTTTTTATTTTTTTCCTGCACCCCCTTTCCTCTGCTTTCTGATTAAAGAAAAGCTTTATTTTTGGTAGAATTTCCAGCCATTTCTTCAAGTAAGAAACAATAATGATCCTGAAAACACAGCAGCAAACCTGTGATGAGAACGTGCAAAGCCCTTTTTTCATCTACCAAGTTAAAAAAAACAAAGTCAGTATATTATTTTGTCTCTTGTATATGTACATATATGTGTGTATCCACTGATGTATATACACACATGTCCATGCAAATGAGTGTGTGCACAAATAAATTTTTCCTTCTGTTTTAACTGATTATACCTGTGTGTTTGAAAGGATGTAGCTTTCGTGCCTTTATACAACAGGAAAGCTTTCTAACATAGTCATAAATAGAACCTGCTACCCAGGATGGTTCAGGGCACTCACCGATATTATGCACACGTTAAAAAGGCCTGGCAGAGACAATGTGATTTGAGAGATGACAGCTGTCATCATCATTATCCTCACAAAGATGAGACGGTCAATGAGGCTCAAAATACGAATTTCCCTGGCCCTGCTTTGCCCTTGGCCTGCACACTTGTCCAGGCATGGTGTACTGATGAGGGTAACTGGGGGGCAGGGTGGTTTCGGGGCCGTGAGGTGGGGTAGGGGGAGACTTGACATGATGGCACCCATGGTCCAGCGGTCCTCAGGCTTAATAGTGTCACAAAGACTGCGCACTGTGGCAGAGCGTCGAGAGACCAGGCAGTGAGGCAGCAGTGTTAGCACTGCGTGTGCGTGCCAGGAAGACTCCTTCCTGCTAAGCAAGTGGGTTCTCTGGCCATAAGAATCAGAGGCCTGATACTTCAGGCAGACTGCATACTAATTCCATCTAGTGACGACGTCTCACTGGGCTCCAAGTCGATGATGGCGAGCCACCAGGAATTCCGAACAGCTTGGCACGTATGGCCAAATGAGAATTTCTGAAATCCCAGTTTCCCAGTCTTGATATGCAGGAGGCTTCAAGTTTATCTTGAGCTCCACAAATACATCTGTTGAGGAAAGTGTTTTTTTTTCTTTTCTTTCTTTTTTTTTTTAATGATAGTCTGGATGAATGCGAGGCTCTTTGGGGGTCCTCAGAGCTCTCTCTCACTGGATTTAGGAGAAATTCCTGAGGCACTTGAGGGCGTTACAGGGAAACCGTTGTAGACTCACACTTCCCTGTCGCGCCCTGAACCCTGCTCAGCTTTGGGGAAGCAGCATTGGCCCTAGGCCTAAGATCTGTGTGTTAGGTGTGAGCGAGGCCATTCTGGCTCCAAATATGGGAAAGCAGGAAGAAAGGAGCCGATATAAAGTCACCCCAAACAAACTGGGACAGGGTTGGAAGGCAAAGAGATCTGGTTTGGTGGTGCTTGGAGCCTTTGCTGGAGATGGGGCTCCCCTACTCCTCCCTTTTTGAGACAGTGAAAACCAGAAACTGAACCTGACTCAGTGAGGACATAGACCTCGCAGCATAGCTGCCTGACACCGGAAGAGGTCTGCTCTTTCTGGGAGATGGAAGGGCCTTTTAGTCTTTTCTAGTCTCTCCTCCCACCCTCCCTCTCTCCCTCCCTCCCTCCTTCCCTCTCTCTCTCTCTCTTTCTTTCTTTCTTAAATATGTCACATCCAGCTTAAAAGAAAATAAGAGAATACACCCAAATCAACGGATATGACACTGTCTACAGAAATAACCATCTCTGCGGAAATAATTCATGCGATTTATTAATAAGGATGATATTGAGTGACCCGACCCAAAGAAAGACAGAAGTGTATCTTGGGGCGTTGAGATTCGGTGGTTCCTTTTGTGTAGTTCTAAGGGCAAGATAGTTGTCAAATGACATAAGGAGTCTTTTACACTGGTTTGGTCCATCAAGGTGGGACGTCTGGAAGCAGAAGCTTGAAGGTTATAGGGGGCTTTGAAATTCTTAGATTAGTAATTGGTGAAAGAAGAACACAGGTCTCTGTTCCTGAAAGGAAATCAGCAAAAGAATGTCTATGCCTTACTCTAGTGTAAAAACGCTACCTGGGACAGCACTGTAGCATCCCACTGTCAGTGAACCAAAG